TCAATGCAGTGACTGGACATTTACATCAGGACTTCAACATAAAGTAGATGGCCTTATGGCTCACAGATAAACTTTTACAATAAGCTTCCATCAGTGATTTGAGTTTTAAATTTGTAAAGAGCATGAATATGATTGATGAGTATGATTTATTGTGGCTCTGAGTCTAGCCTTTCTTTTTATGTTCTCATTGGATAAACCAAACCAGTTTTGGTTCAACCATCTTAATCTTTCCATTCTGCTCTATGCTTGAGGGTAAATGAAAGGATGTATGATGGGATAGAGGAAGAACAGGAGTAAATCAGATTCTGATCTTGTATGCTTATATACTAGTATTAGAAATTCAAATGAAATATAAATAATATTTGACTGGTTTGAACATCAGAGAGATATATCTAGAAAGTTCATATTCAATTTCTCACATTAAAGATTTTGAAAAAATATTTTCAGAAGGCTAACAAGTTGATCAGTAGGGAGAAAGTACCAAACAAAAGTAAAATAGAAGAATGGAGTCTGTCCATTAAAAACAAATTTGTTATATTTAAGTCATTAAATTTTTATCAGTCTGGGTTGGGTCAAGGGAGTGTTGAATCAAACCACAGCTGATATGCACACGTCAGGCAAATCAGACTTTTTTTTTCCTCACTCCAAAGTCTCAAGTCCATAGCAGGGGACAGAGAGCTGTGAAGGGTGGAAAGGTGAGCAGGCGATGGGGAAGGCAGCGTGAGAATGTGCAGGTGCAGGAGATTTCAGTCCACAGACTACCTCTACTCCTTACCCCAGCAGCAGTCCAACTCATTCTTACAGATTTTTAAATTGTAGAAACTCTCAACAGGCACCACTTGCAAAGTTTATTTTTCAATCCTTTCCATCTGAATTTGCATTGGCAACATTGGTTCTGGAGGCAAATGTTCAGAATAGAGACAGAGCAGCGTTGGCTGGAAACAGGGAGCTACTATTTCTACATGGTATTCATTTTTTAAAAATATTTTATTTATTTGAGAGAGAGAGATAGTAAGAGAACACAAGCAGGGGAAGGAGGAGGGTGAGGGGCAGAGGGAGAGGCAGACTCCCCACTGAGCAGGGACCCTGACATGGGGCTCGATCCCAGGACCCTGAGATCATGACCTGAGCCAAAGGCAGACACTTAACCCACTGAGCCACCCAGGAGCCCTTCTACATGGTATTCTTGACTATATCATGTTCTGATTAAAAATTGGAAACAAACAACAACAAATACACACACACACACATACAGATACACACATACTATGGTTTTGAGCAGAATCAGGTTTTTAAAATTAAATATGGTAAAAACAGGGCACCTGGGTGGCTCAGTTGGTTGAGCATCTGCCTTTGGCTCAGGTCATGATCTTGGGGTCCTGGGATTGAGTCCTGCATCAAGCTCCCTGCTCAGTAGGAAATATGCTTCTCCCTCCCCCTCTGCCTGCCACTCCACCTACTTGCTTGTACTCTCTCTCTCTCTGTCAAATAAAAAAAAAAAACTTTATAAATAAATAAATAAAAAATAAAAAATAAAAAATAAAAATAAAAATAAATAAATAAATAAGGGAAAAGGTCTTGGAAAACTTGAAGGTCTAGAAATAAATGCTATAAAGAACAATAGGATCTGGAAATATTATAATATTATAAACTTACTTCTTTAGATGGTTGTTAGAATGAGATATGGATATGTTACAGAGTATTACATTTTATTTCCTCCCTGGCTTCACCATCTTCTAAGCCTTCAAACCCAGGTCACCTCTCCCCTCTCCCACCATGCCTTCTTCTGCTGTCCATCCACCTTTACCAGGTTGCTTCTGCTCTGGCCAGTTATTTTTAGCTAGTGAGAATGATCACTGCCTATGCTGCCCACAGGTACTGTGATGAGTTCTTTTTTTTTTTAAGATTTTATTTATTTATGAGAGAGAGAGAGAGAAAGAGAGAGAGAGAAGCAGAGAGACAGGCAGAGGGAGAAGCAGGCTCCATGAAGGGAGCCCAATGTGGGACTCGATCCCGGGTCTCCAGGATCATGCCCTGGGCTGAAGGTGACGCTAAACTGCTGAGCCACCCGGGCTGCCCAGATTCCACATAAAACAAAAAGCATAAGGAGCAGATCAGACAATGGACTCTTTCAGCTCAGACAAGCGCCTTAATAGCTTTTATACCAAGTATAAATTTAGCAAACACATTTTCTTGAAAGGGAGATGCTTGCCTTTTCTGAAGTTTCCTAAACATCTCAGTTCTTCGGGTCTTTTTTTTTTTTAATCTTTTTTTTTAAAATTTTTATTTATTTATTTATGACAGTCACAGAGAGAGAGAGAGAGAGGCAAAGACACAGGCAGAGGGAGAAGCAGGCTCTGTGCACCGGGAGCCCGACGTGGGATTCGATCCCGGGTCTCTAGGATCGCGCCCTGGGCCAAAGGCAGGCGCCAAACCGCTGCGCCACCCAGGGATCCCTTTTTTTTTAAATCTTAATTCCAAGATAATTAACATAGAGTGTTATGTTATATGTTACTCGGTGCTAATCATAAGTGTACTCATCCCATTCACTCATTTCCCCTACCCACCTCCCCGTTGGTAACTACCAGTTTGTTTTCTGTAATTCAGAGTTGGTTTTTTGGTTTGTCTTCTTCCCCCTTTGTTCATTTGTTTTTTCTTAAATTCCACATACGAGTGAAATCATATGGTATATGTTAGGTCTTTTCAAATCAGTGCAGTAGAAGGTAGAGATTCTGGGAATGAAAATTTTTTTGTGGACATTTGTTGGCCTGCTTACTATGTGATAATTAACTGTAATCATATTGTAAAGGATAAGGATGGAACAAGCAGAAAATCAATCAAGAAACTCATACTCTAGTTTGTTCCTTCAATGAAAAAAACCTGGTACTGAGAATTATCTATGGCTCAAGCTCCAATATGAAGTATGTTACGATTCCTCAACTAATACCTACCGAGGTTGAGGCAAGGAAGAAAGTCAAGTACACAAACTAAACAAAGTCCTGTAACATGGCTTTTGGAAATGTGTGGTACCCTCTCCACCCCTCCCCTATGTGCTGATCCTGTTCTCACCACTGACAACATGAACATTTGTGCGCTTCCACCTGCCCTTGATTTAATTTCATCTTTGAAGGCAGGAGTGAAAGGTGCAATAAAGAGGAGACATTGATGCCATAAATGGAGCTGGGAGGCCATTAAGGTGGGCCTTATGCACACTCCTCACAGGGGGGGAACCATGAACTCTTGATCTGGACCAAATATTCCAAGGACTCTGCACAACGCCTGCAATTTGCTATCATGATGAACTTTTGCTCAGTGATAGTCTTAGCAAGCGATTATGGTTAGCCAAGATTAGTTTGCTGCTGCCAACACCAATCAAAATTCTTTGCAAACAACGTATCCAAGCATTCCCTTTTGCCTTTAATAAATCTTGACTTCTGTTCATTAGTGGGCCAAAATTTGAGTTGTTACCCGAATCTGTGCTCCCAAATTGCAATTCTCAGACCCCAAATAAATGTGTTTGTGTTATTTCAGTATTGCTTCTTTTCTCAGATGACAACAGGTAATACACTGACATGCTTCCAAAGTCAAAATGATACAAAAGTGAACAAGTGTGAATCTCACTTCCATTCCTTTCCCCATCCATTTACATTGGTTTCACCTTTAAAAAAAAAAAAAAACCCTTCTGGTATTTCCTTATGCAAATACATATTATCTCCTTCCTCCCTTTTTACACAAAATACAGCCTATTACCTGTAGTGTTGTTTCATCCTTTTCTACTTAATCATATATGCTGAAGATCTTTACCCATCAGTTGTGGAGGCTCCTTCTCATTCTTCTACAGCAAATCAGGTTCCATTATGTGGATGTATTGTAGTGTATTTAACTGGTCTTCTTTATAGTTGTTATTTTTTTTTTAACCATTAAAAGCAACATTGTGATGAGTAATTATGCATATAATTTTGTACATGTACAGATGTATGGGTAGTTTGACTTTCAAGAAATCAGAATGCTACTTCAAAGAGTAATTTGCTAAGTATTGCCGGATTCTCCCTCATAGGGCATTATACCATTTTGCACTCCAACCACTGGGAGGACATATTTCCTCATTGTGTTGCTGAAAGAATGTGATCAAACTTCAGGACTTCTGTCAATCTGACAGAAGGACAGATGATACCTTAGTTCAATTTGCTTTTCTCTTATGATGATGGAGATTAAGCTCTTTACCTGAGTGTTACGGACATTTGGCCTTTCTTTTTCTGTAAACTATGTTCATGTCCTTTGGCCATTTTTCTACTGAATTGCTGTTTTTTCTTTTTTATATCTAAGACTTCTCTATATAGTAAGGAGATTAGAATGCACTGGTTTTCTCAGCCCATTATAGAACTGTAGCTTCAAAGAGTCTTAAAGTAATTCCTGCCATCCTCTATTCCTTGGAAACAAGAATCTCCTATTCCCAGTTCAGATCATTTAATTTAGCTTTCTGACTTAAAAAGTGTTCTATGTTCATTATAGAAACACTGGAAGGAATTTAAAACTGCACGTTTGTACTTTGTTATATTACTTCTCTAAGTACATGAAATAAGGGAATACTCCCCAGAGGTGGCCACCAGTGACATTAGTGGTTTGACATACATTTCCCCTGAGTTCTTCATCCCCCTCTATTAGCCCTATTTAAAATTTATGTGGTGGATAATGTTTTATCTCAGCAATATCCTTTATATTCTGTTACCATTCCGCAAAGCAAGGGAACAAACAAAAACATGGTCATATGCAGGGACCGTGATCTATGCAGACCTGGTATCCTTGCCAACATTACGGTCATCTGAATGGGGGCCCAGCACAGGGCCTAGGAAGAAGAGAGCTCTGCTCATCCTATTCAGTAACTTGCCACAATCTCAATGTATTTGATCACAGGATCCTGTTGCATCCTCTTTGGCCCTTCCAAATCAAGCTGTAGCTCTTGGTTAAAAATGTTTTGTAACAGAATATCAGAAACCAGAACAACAACAAAAACTTGAACACACCAGTAATTTGTAAGTTAAAACTTGCATTTTGAAATAAAAATTCATAACAAAAGTTTACAAAATTGTCACACAGGAGCACGTCTTAAGATACCATTACATGCTTCGTTTACTTAGAAAAAGTTCCACAGGTGAGACAGAGTGGTCATTTATAAATGTGAGTTTCCTTTGAGAAAAAGAGAGCTTATAGGAAATGTCAGACTGCAAAACCAGAGAGGCACTGGGATGGAGCACGGACTCAGGGCCTGCCCATTGGGGCTGTGCTACTGCTTCCTGGTGTGCCAAAGGAGCAGGGACACCAGCAATTTCCAAGGACCTGTGTGCCATGGGCCTTTCATTTCAGCGAACAGTACATCATTATAACAGTACCATTTCCTGTACCTTTGATTGTAAACTTCAACAGAAAATAACTTATCATGCTTAAAAATTGTACTACAAAATGTGCTGTGGTTGCTGTTGTGACTCTTAGCGTCTTTGGAGACCATCCATCTCAGAAGTTTCTGATTTGGTTTGCTTTCTTAGAGGTTCCTGACCTGGGGGACATCCTCCACACACACCAGTCCATACAAAAAAAAAAAAAAAAAAGAGAGAAAGAAAAAGCTAGCAGTGCTTTTTCTAAAGCTGGTCCAGGGCCCTGCCCTCATCACACAGGCTGTGCCTACAGTGTCTCTGCTCACGCTCAAACCATCTTCTAATTAGAGTGCCTGGTTGACTGATTTATTGCTTCTCCATGGCATTTCAGTGTTTATTATGTAAGTTGTATTTCAGTATGTTCCTGCAGAATTTCTTCAATTCACGCTGCTATCAGGTGATCAGCAGTTTGAGGTTCTTATACAATAGCTCTTCATGTATTTTGCTGGTATGTGAAGCTCAACAGATTGGCCCAGCCACAAACTACAGGAGATGGATGTTGGTGGATGAACTACATTTCAGCACCTTGTGATTCTAACTCTGCCTCCCTCCTTTAATGTTGCATTTAGCATCGTAAGAGTCTATGGGATTTGTTCACACTTCCTTTCTGGCAAATTAGTTTCTTTTTCAATATTAAACATGACTTTTTGCAACAAAGACATGCTTCAGCCAAACACCACAAAACCATGCGCTCAGACAAATGATCTAAAAATACAGTGACTTATGTCCCTATCCTGATTCTAAAAATCAAGGTAGGTCTTTTAGATTTTGATCATGCCCACGGAGCTGTGTCTATAGTTTGACAAAAACCAGGGTGCATACTTTCAAATAAGAACAGATCAAGATCACTGACATTCATAACTACAATGCTTAACTTTTTTTCCATAATTACTTAAAAATTCATAACACCATCACTAAAACTTGCTAATTATCAGGGCAGTTAATTTAGAAACATTTCCTCTCACAATGATTATACTATTATCCATTTCTATTTATTCCTAATTAAATTCAATTTCAGCTACCTGGTTCTGAGTGTGAGGTAGCCTCATAGTTCTATTGCTATGAAAGGAGCATGTTCCGAAGTAGCACTTCAAGTATTCAATTAGATTTAAATGAGAGGAAAATATAGGATCAGTTAAACCATTTCCTCACTTGGCATATGAACCAAAAAAAAACAAACCAACCTATCCATCTTCAGTGATAAAGATACAGTTCTTTTGTGAGCATAGACACAATACATGGAATCTGTTTCTTTCCATGAAAAGCAGAGTCAAGAGAAAAGGACTCAAATTCTGTTGCGACCTTTCGGTTAACCCGAGTAAGAATATGCATAAACTCAAGCTTGTGAGCGTATAGTTTCAGCATAGCACAAAGTGACTGGATGAACCATGATCCATCCTTTGAATTTCGCCAGGAATAGTAACCTGCAAGGCAAAATAAAGCCAAAATAGCATGAGTATCTGATTTTAATAGATTTAATAGAGTATCTGATTTTAATACACAATCATTAAGGTAAAAACAAACAAAACGTCCACCAGCATTACTAGCCATAAAAAGAAAATAACCACCACCTCTCATTTCAAGGGAGACGATGCTGGACGAGGGGAAAGTGTGTTGTGCATACACCTCTGCTTTAGGCAAGGAAAAAAGCTGTGGACTACCTTCCCTGCTGAAGGATGGTGAGCTCTCTTTTTCGGTTTCCCTTCTCCCAGGGAGGAAGGGAAACATGCAAAAGATCAGAGGCCAACGAATAAGAAGCACCACTGTTAAGTAGCATGGTGCTGTAGTCAGATCATGGTTTATTCAAGAAATATATCGCTTACATATGCACACACATTTGGGTGTCCTAAATTTGTCTACAAGGCATCTGAAAAATATGATAGAGACATCAAAAACTCCAAAAAGGGGAAAGCAATGTATTTATTCTACTATTTTTCAGATTAACTATCAGATTTATTGCCTCTAATTTAGAAGTACTTTACCTGGAAAAATGTCTTGAGGTTCAAAAGAAATCCTATTGAGCATATTTTAAAATGTAACACTGTTTAACCACACATTTATTTGTCCTCTATTTGCAAACTTTGTGAAACCCTGAGTCAGCTATATAATAAATAAATTGCAAGAGCAATCAATATTTATTGATCTGAGGACATAAAAACGTAGAATGACCTGGTTCTTTTCCCTCATGACACTTTGCCCTCCCACATGCTATTCAGGTTTATTTTTATTATTATTTCCTATCTTCCAAAGGATTCCTGGAAAATGTACTAATCTCCTATTCTAAGAAGTGGACAAGCTCTGCCAAATACCAGACATATGACAAGAAGGCACATATTGTACACCACATTACAAAATTACAATACATTATTCTATATTAACAATATAGTCTCCTATCTGGCATTAAGTTCCTGAATGACACAGTGGAAGTAAGCTTTCTTATAAATGCACATTTTACAGCCAGACAGTTGTTAAAGACAACTTCCTGATGCTTCTCTGTAGCTAAGGTAACGAAAATACGGATCAGTTAGCTGTTCATGAATATCAAAATCGTGATAGCCTTTGGAACATTGGTTTTGTGTTTAAAATCTCCATGTAATGTTCATTATTTGTAACTGTCTTACCAGGGGCTGTAGAGTAAGCATACAAGAAGTCCGCTTCGACTGGTATTTTCTGACAGGCCATGTCATCCTCAATTCCACTGTCAGTCTCAATACCACAGTCTAGTTCTGTACCTCGGCAGGCCTAGAGGTTAAAAGATAAGTGTTTAGGGGTATGTGGGTAGCTCAGTGGGATAAGCGTCTGACTCTTGATCTCAGCTTAGGCCTTGATCTCAGGGTCATGAGTTCAAGCCCCATGCTGGGCTCCACACTGGGCACGGAGCTTACTTAAAAAATATCAAGGCTGTGTAAAAATGGAGGTTAACTATGAAGAGTCTTTTTGATCCAAGTCTAACATGAACATTTATTCTATATCTAATGAGTGATAGTTTAAATGAATAAAAAAGTCACAGTAGTTCAGTAGCTTCAGTGGAAAAAATAAATCCATTGGTTAATCCACAAATGAGCAAATTAAACCCCAATTAATTCTCAGCAACCAAGTTGTTTAGTCATAGATTACCTGAATAATGAAAAGTTTGGGTTTTCCAGTCAGACTTCTACAGTAATCTCCTCGGAAGAAACCTGTTACTTTTCTCAGGTCAACAGGTCCATTTGTTCCAAAAATTATTCCTTCATCCCCATGGCTTAGAAGCACGCAAACAAAACTGCTTCTTTTGCTATGATCTTCTTTAGAGACTGGAAAAATGTTTACAAGTAAGGAAAATAAACAAACAAAACCAATACAACTTCAATTACCAATCTCCAATTAAACTGTACAGGAGTAAGGTGAAGAAACTTGAGGACAGAACTGAGACATCACTGCAACCCAAGTTGGGGCGGTCAATATACCTCAAAATCACTTTAGGAAATTAAAAAAAAAAAAAAAAAAAAAAAAGCAGCCCAGGTGGCTCAGTGGCTTAGCGCCACCTTCGGTCTTGGGTGTGGTCCTGGAGACCCGGGATCGAGTCCCATGTTGGGCTCCCTGCATGGAATGGAGCCTGCTTCTCCCTGTGTCTGTGCCTCTCTCTCTCTCTCTGTGTCTCTCATGAATAAATAAATAAAATAAAAAAAAAATCACTTTAGGGAGGTGACACGAATAACTTTTATTTTACGTATATAAAATGTAGAATTATGTAGAGTATGGTACCACAGTTCTTTATAATTACAGCTACACTGTAATATACAATTAGACAATGAAGGTAGGTCACTCTTTTAATTATTTCTTACCACTGTTCATTAATTCCAAAATTTCTTCGCATGTGAGATCATTTTTATTTCTGACTTCATATTTCAAATTTGTGAATGTTTCCCTGAGGTTTGCTGCATCTACATCTGTACCAGACCGAGGTGCCATTCCTTGAAAACAGAAAGGATTACTTATAATTGCACTAAAAAAAAGAGAGTAACTGCTCTGAAATAAACTATTCAGTGAGTCACACAATCCACAATAAATTATTCTTTTCAACTGCTAAGAAAATTTAATGATTCTGATCGTGGTAACACAAAGTCTCTTTAGTTTCTTAGATTATAAGACATTTCATAATATAAAAAAAAGACATTTCATAATATAAGCTATATCAGTGTTACAATCATAAGGATATCTTTAAAAAAAAGGATATCTTTCATGGCTGCTTAGATAGTGAAAAACACAGTTGAAATGCTTAATGAGAGAAGTCTGGTTAAATAAATTATGACTCATAATAAATTATGATGGAATACTGTATTACCATCAAAATTTCTGTAGACAAGGGGTGCTTGGGTAGCTCAGTCAGTTGAGCGTCCGACTCTTGGTTTTGGCTTGAGTCATGATCTTGGGATCGTGCGATCGAGCCCCACATTGAGCTCTACACTAGTCTCAGAGTATGCTTGGGATCCTCTCTCTCCCTCTCCTTCTGCCCCTCCCCCTGCTCACTCTCAAATAAATAAATAAATTTTAAAAATAAAAATTTCTGTAGACAAAATTCTGCCATGGGAAAAGGTCACTTATTAAACAAAACTTGTAATACAAGAGGATCCTGCTTTTGCTTAAGAAAAATGATATATATAACAATACACACATCTCACACACTCAGGGGAGCTGTATTTTTTTTTAATTTTAAGTTCCCAACAATTTAAAGATCCATTACTACTTTAACAATATTTTTTTCTCAGGAAAAAAACCCACAAACCACTGCCACATTAATACTGTTTACCAGACATCCTGCTATGAGTAATTTCCTTCAACCCTTCCAAACACCAAGGAGACAGTGTGACCAGTTACCTTTGTACAGATATGGGACAAGGAGTACAGTGAAGTTCAGGAACTTGCTGAAAGTAATAAAGCTAGCATTAGGCCTGTACTCTGGGGTCTTGCACTTAGTAGCCTCTATAGTAGCTTTCTCATTAAGTGTACAGATTGTACAATGCACTCAAATTTTAAAATGCTAAACAGTTAAGGAGTACACACCTTAGAACTGAGTCAATTATTTAAATGTATGAATAGAATAAAAGACTCAATGCCAATGCCTTCAAAATATTGTTGATAGAGCATCTCTGAGTAGTGTGACTATGAGTGGTTTTAAGTTTTTTTTCTTTTGCTAATCTGTCATTTCTGAATCTTTTATTATGACGATATGTAATTTTAATACAATTTAAAAAAGCCTATCAAAGTTTTGACTCTGGAGAGGCTGAGGATACTAGGCAGCTATGTGACAAGGTGAGTGAATTCCAGTCCTGGATTGTGAGCCATTTAATAGTAGAACAGAAAATACAAGACTGCCAGGAGATCACTGTGAGGACCTGACCTTCACTTTTCAAAACAGAAGATGAGCTCACTCTAATGCTAAAGCCAGACTCCTGGCTTAGGTAATTTGTTGTTATGGTTGTTAAACAATAGGTTCAACAATGTAAAAGTCTATAGGAAGTGGGCATTGTAACTAGCAATGTGATGTAGAGTATCTGATGGTTGGAGGTGGCATCTCAACTTAGAGCCAAAAGCAATACAAATGCTCCCATTCAGATTTAGACATCCATTTTTCCAATTGCTGTTTCCTCATAACTAATCTAATACCAAGTTCTGCTTATATTTCCAGTACAATCTGGGTTCTTCTGGCCATTTTCACCACCAGCCAGGTAGATGGCCTCCTAAATTGGACCTACTGCTTCTAAATTCTTTAATTAAAAGTTAAGTGTAAAGTGATTAATATGCCAATTCGAACAATTAACATAGCATCAATATAAAAATAAGAAATGGAGATACAGCCCAAATTTACCATATGGTAAATTAAGCAAATTAAGCAAATAGAATATTACATAATCACTAAAAGATCTCAAAATTATAGAGAGACATGAAAAATGGTTATATTACATTACGTAGAACAAGCAGGATATAGTACTGCTTGCATATTAGGAATGAAATTAAGCTTTGAAAGAAACTGGAAAGAAATCAAGTAATACATCAAGTTATTAATTAACTTTTGGGGACTGTAAGGGATTTTATTGTTTATATTCGCTAAAAAAAAAAAAAAAAAAAGTCTGAATCGTATTCTAGATTCGAGTCACACCCAGTATAGACTGAGAAGGAGATCTGGTGAACATAAGAGAGCAGTTTCAGTACATGTGGAAAGAAGTGATGACGGCAAGCTTAAAGTACAAGTTTTCAAAATTTAGAGGAGACAAAAATCAGATCAAAGCTTGAGAGGGAGCAGGGTAAAAGAAAGATCTCTTTAAGATGGGGTTCTATCATTTTTGTGGGGAGAAAGGAAGACGTCAATAGAGCAAATGAAGATACAACAAAGTGAAGTAGTGCAGGAGGTGACTTCAGAGCTCCGAGTGGGGACTGGGAGGTGGGGGTGGTCAGGCACACCAAGGCCAAGTCCCAGCTCTGCTACTAAATGATCTGTGTGACTCTCTGACAGAACTTTAACCTTTTCAGAGTTGTTGTTAAAATTAAATGAGATAATACCTACGAGGTGCCTTGCACAGTTCTTGGAAGAAAAAATACTAGTCATTGTTTGTTGTGATCCTTCTATTAGAATGAAAGAGGAAGCAGAAGCAGGAGGATAAACAAGGAAGGGTTACACAGAACTTGGGACAGGAGAGCCAACATACAGATGGGAGGCTAGCTTTTGGAAGAGGGAGAAATTCTGATGATGGGCAGGTCAAGAGTTTGTGATGTAGGGTGTGTGGGGTCCTGCTCTATCTTTACATCATGGCTGTTCTGCATTACCGTTTTCTAACCAAAAACACCAGTTCTATTTTTTTATATTATACCAAATACAAAGGGTACAATACTTGAAGAGGACTAAAAATCATGTTAGGATACATACCAGTACTTTTATGAAAGTTCTTATTATTAATTATTATACATAAACCCATTTCAGGATAATCCATTTTATAACTGTTGTCGAAGGACATTCCCGAGTCCATTGATTTGCTTCCATGTAAGATCTTTCTGTTTGGAAATCAAACAACAGGTTACAAAGGTAGAAATGACCAATGCTACTGTTCACATTAATACAACTTTTACAACACAGAAGAACAGTTCCTATCTGTTGAATGCATGTCAGGCTGTGTGCTACAGGCCTTTCCTGATTTTAATTTCATGATAAACCATTTCACAGATGGGGAAATGACTGCAGTGGGGCTCAGGAACATGCTGATGCTTATGCAGATGCTGTGTCAGAGCTAAGGCCTAGCATACCTGTGAGACTTCAGAGTTCACGCTTTTAATCTCCACATTTTAGGGTATTCCCCTAAATTTTTATAAAATTTCAAATATATTTCATAGTTTTAAATTTTTAAATTTCTTGTAACTTTGTGAGATATTTATCTTTCAAGGTAAGAGTAAAATCTTTTTTTTTTTTTTTTTTTTTTTGGTAAGAGTAAAATCTTAACAATTACCCTGAAATGATAGGAAACCGACAAAATGGAAATATGACCCAAAGCACAGTATTTATCACAATTCCTAAACTGTCCCTTAAACACTATGAGCTGAACAAATTAATAGTTAATACATAGAAACACTGCTGTAAATAATTGGAAATACTCATCTGAAGGTCGCTTACCTAAAAACCTCTGTTATCTAGACCAAGGTCAAAAAACTTTTTTTCAAAACAGCCAAACAGGGCAGCCCGGGTGGGTCAGCGGTTTAGCGCCAACTTTGGCCCAGGGCATGATCCTGGAGGCCCAGGATCGAGTCCCACGTCAGGCTCCCTGCATGGAGCCTGCTTCTCCCTCTGCCTGTGTCTTTGCCTCTCTCTCTCTCTCTCTCTCTCTGTGTCTCTTATGAATAAATAAATAAATAAAAATCTTAAAACAAAACAAAAAAACAAAAACAAAACAGCCAAACATTAGGTAGTTGAGGCTTGTGGGTCATACAATCTCTGTTGAAGGCAGCTACTCCATTCTGTTAGCGAAAGTAGCCCAGGACAACATGTAAATAAATTTGTGTGGCTATGTTCCAATAAAACTTGACCAAAGTAGACAGCAAGCCTGATCTAGCCCAAGGAACAGGAAAACCAGGTCTAGAAACAGCTAAACATCAGTATCTAAAGTCCACGTCCTCAAGCATTTAACCTGAAAGTATTTCACATTATATACAATTCTACAAACACTGTTGGAAGGAGATAAAATGGTAAATTAAAGCAGTCAAGGTCAGAAACAATTGTATTTAGCTAAAGGTGAAGATGCCCACATTTTACAGTTAAGAAAATTAACACTCAGAAAGCCGAGTGACTTACTGAAGATTATATAAATTAGGGATCCCAGAACTGTAATTCCCTAACACCTCCCACTGCCTCCTTAGGGCTTCTCTACCAGCAACAGGATAGCCACATGGGGAAGGTGCACACTGATGCAGAGCAGAGACTCAAAAAGTCAAGGGACATAAGGGTAACTTATCATAAGATAAAAACAGACTTAAATCTGTTTTGGGCTCCCATGTAATTTGCTATTAGATTATACTCTTGTGATATGAAAAGGTAGGAAAATGGACACATCACTTAAAAAGGTTTAAAAAAAAAACACCTAAATCCTCTAAAATGAGATTGTTTTTCAAAAGTTTAGTTTCTAGTAAATCTCCTTAGCTAAACAGACACAGCCAAATCTTTATTGGTAACCTGTTCCTCATTCTATAATTCTCTTGTTTACTATGAAGATCACTAAATAATTACTTATTTTTGTCCAAAATAATAATCCTGGGTCTCAGAAGAAACTTTCAGAGATCCCAAGTAGATAGTGACATGAATTACATTAAGGGTATCTGCATTTTATCTTTATCCTTTCTCTATCATCTGGTTATGGGAAGCATTAATAAGCAAAATACTGCAAAGAGGAAGAGAGAAAACCGAGGGTAGAAGCTCATCGAAAAACCAGGCAATTCTTCCCCAAGACTCAGAATTGGCACTTCATTTTAGTCATGAAAAAGAAACAGAAAGTCCAAAATCTCCAAACACAAAAGCTCCCATCCTGCAGATGGATTTAGGAAGGCACAGAAGCATCCAGACTTGCGAGTTCTTCCTCTCCTGTGGCATCCTTCTGTTTCCAGGTCGGCGATTCTGACTGTGGGTCAGGCACTGTACCTCATGTTTCCCTCCATCCTCCGCGCAGTTTTGTGAAAGTTTGACATTGAAGACAAATTCAGGAGGATAAGTTAACGTGTGCAAAGCCACGTGGCTGTTGAGGTAGGAAGTCAGCTGGTTCTCTCTGGCTTGAAAGCCCTTTCTGCTTCCCCACTCCTCAATGTCTGCTGTATTACATACACCTCTTTCTCTGATTATAAAGGACAGCATTAGAAATACTCACGTTTCTGCATTTTTAAAGGATTTTGCATCCACTGAGTTTTCAGTGTTCTCCATGGATACTTCTAACTGGAATATAGAGAAAAGACAGAAGTTAATCAATCCATCATCTTAAGACCCCTGCATTATATTAATTACTCTAACGATTATTTATATGGACATCTTCATATTAGCATTACCACTCCTCCCCCAGCTTCACCTCTATTGGTAAAAGTATCTATAAGTCAAACCTGAGAACAATAATCCTTTCTAAAAGTATGTGTGATAGGGTCCATTTCTTCCTCTCTCTCTTTTTAACGTGAGCGCTGAAGTTCATATATAGTGTACAGGTATGAAGCGTGCAGCTTGATCAATTTTTGATATATATGCGCTCCCACCAGATCAAGATACAGATTGCAACTTGTTTCCACTGCGACAGATCAGGTCATTCATTGACAGGAATTCAGCCTTCCAACTCAACACAGTTAAAACAGAACCGAGGAACTCCCTAGCACAACGGTCTACCTCACGTAGGCTGTTCTACAACGCTTTTGATTCCCAAGAGCTACAGCTCCAGGGAGTTCCAAAGCCTCCACATAACCTTTACTCTGAAACTGGGCTTGAGAATCCCAACTTCTCATGTAGGGGGGGTAGAATGGCCATGGAAAACTGGAAGCAGGAACTCCAGTTTGGTTTTCGTGCTTCCATCAGATGGTTCCAGGGGGCCTTACGCAGTGAGCAAGTCCTTACAATCCAAGCAGCCACCACTCATTGTGCGCTTCTACGGCTCGCACTTTTCCAAGACTCCTGAAAGTCAGGAAACCCTACTTCTGGTGATTAAGTGACTTTGTCCACAGTCACAGAGCTAAGTGACTCAGGCCCTCTCCTTCCCACTCTGTCCTGTTGCCTCTGCAGCAGTCAGCTCCTTACTACTTGTGTTCCGTTGTTCTCCCATGTCTTCTCTGGCCTTCCAGAAGTAAAGGTACTTCCCATGGCAATCTGCCTCCCTAAATAGAGAGAGAAAAACAAGACCAAAAATTCTTGACTTTCTTTAGCCTCCAGAAGCCTTGGCTAGCTCAGAAATTCGAATCCAAATACAACTTTAACCTAACTCATATGCTAGGATCAAAATTCTTAACAGAATACCCAAGCCCATCAATAAGACTCACCCAACCACAAAAGCCACACAAGACCGCACAAGTCCTAGCCTTCTGTCCCACTTTACACTGAAAAAATTGTGATAAAACATACATAAATCTACCATTTTAACTACTGTTAAGTGTACAATTCAGTGACATTAACTATAGTTACATTAGTACATGACCATCACCACCACCCATCTCGAGAACTTACTTTCTTCTTCCCAAACCAAAAATCCTTACCAAAGCCCACTGTTTTTAAGGCCTCCTAAAAGCAAAGGAAACCTCTTTTGTTCTCCAAAAGCTAAGTTCCTTCCTGCCTTCTCCCTAAATATTCCGTGAACCTATGGTGGAAAAAGATGGAGACAATAATATGGAGGAAAGGAAGCATCACCATTTCATCTCAACCATAGAGGAGAGCAGAGCAGTGTTTTACTTTCTCTCAAGCCAGACTTTGTTTTGTTTTCTAACAAAGACTCTGTTTTTCTACCATCTTGTTTCCTATAGGCTTCCTAGAAAACCAAGGGAGGATGGTGAACACTACTGGGATGAACCATCTTTTAGTCAGTAAGCAAATATTTAGTGAACACATGCTTTGTGCCTGATGCCATTGTAGGCACTAGGACAGAGTGGAAGACAAGACAAAGCTCTTACCTTTAAGAAACTTTCATCCTAGAAAGGAAGAATAATTACAGATTGGTAATAAGATTTCTGACACTAATTGGGACTATGAAGAAAAGAAAATAAGGTAAAGTAATGGAGAGACTGGGAATATGAGCTACTCTAGATAAGGTGGTTGGGGAAACCATCTTGTGGGTGCCATTTACATCGAGATCTAAACGACACAGAGGCTATCCTTGCCGGGAAGAACCAATAAGTACTAAGTCCCTGAAAAAATTTGGTGTATTCATGGTACAGAAAGAAGACCACTTTGACTAGTGCATGGTAAATGAAGGGAAGGCATAAAGAGAGATGAAGAAGCAAAGGTGAGATCACATAGGGCTCTCAGGAGCCAAGAGCAGCTTTGGTTTTATTCTGGTTGCAAGGAGACACCACTGGTGTGTCTTGAGCAGAGGGGGTGGCATGCTTTAAAAAGATCACCCTGGCTGCCAAGTGGAGAATCAACTGTAGAAGACAGGAAAAGAAGCACACAGGCCAACACGAAGCATTATAGAATAGTCCTAGAAAGAGATGACGGTGGCTAAGATTAGAGTTGAACACTGGATATAGGTAATTAAGAGTCTGAAACTCAGGGAGAGATCAGCACTGGAGATACATGGGGCACTCTGGTTTTTACAGGTCCAGCATAAGGACTAAGAGAGGTGACTGAGACAGGGGGAGCCACTGGTGGGCAGGGGAGGATCAGATGAATATGGTATACCAAAGCATATAGAAGTCTTTCAAGCAATGTTCCATGCTTTGAATATTGCTAAAAAAGGTCACGTCTGTTGAGGACAGACCACTGGCTTTGGCAAGATGGGCATGAGTATAGTGGGGATTATCAGGAAAAATCGTTCAAAAGCTGGAAATGGGCAAAAGAAATAATTGTATATAATTTTAGTGTGGTGCTGGGCTTGGTCTAGAGGAATCTTGAGGATTAGCTGATTTTATAGAGTGTCTTATTTTTTAAGCTTTTATTTAAATTCTAGTTAGTTAACGTATAGTGTAATATTGGTTTCGGGAGTAGAATTTAGTGACCAATCACTTACAACACCCACTGCTCATCACAAATGCCCTCCTTAACACCCATCACTCATTTAGCCCCATCCCACATCCACCTGCCCACCAGCAATCCTTCTGTTCTCTATAGTTAAGAGTTTCTTATGATTTGCCTCCTTTTCTCCTTTTGTTTCCTCCCTTCATGTTTTGTTTTTTAAATTTCCCAAAAGAGTGAAATCATATGGTATTTGCCTATCTGACTAATTTCACTTAGCATAATATGCTCTAGCTCCATCCATCGCTGTTGGAAATAGAGAGACTTCGTTTTGATGGCTGAGTGACATTCCATTGTATATATACCATATCTTATTCATTCATCAGTTGATGGACATTTGAGCTCTTTCCATAGTTTGGCTATTGTTGATAATACTGCTATAAATATCAGGATGCAGGTGCCCCACTGGAATCAGTATTTTTGTATCCTTTGCATAAATACCTAGTAGTGCAATTGCTGGGTCAGAGGGTAGCTCTATTTTCAACTTTTTGAGGAATTCCATACTGTTTTCCAGAGTGGCTGCACCAGTCTGCATTCCCACCAACAGCATAAAAGGGTTCCCCTTTCTCTACATCCTTGCCAACACCTGTTGTATACTGTGTTGTAATTTTAGTCATTCTACAGGTGTCAGGTCATATCTCATTTGGTTTTGATTTGTATTTCCCTGATGACTAATGTTAAGCATCTTTTCATGTGTCTGTTAGCCATCTGAATGTCTTCTTTGGAAGTTGAGTTTGATAAGATCTTTGTAGATTTTGGATACTAACCCCTTTCCTGACCTTGTAATGACTAGGTTATTTTACAACTCTGCAGGAAACTATGTCACAGAAAATGGATAGACATGCTAGTGATTCTTGTGTATAGCAACAAAAATGAATTTTGTCTTTTAATGATACAACTGATTTCCAACCTGCAGAAAAGATGACCCTTCCAAATTACATTTTATTGCCCTGTAGGATATTAACCGTACTGCTTCTACTAGCAAATTCATGTCATTATACCCAACCATCTATGTTTCCTCTTCAAATTCTTCTTTAACCTGGTCTTAATACCTCACTGGTTCTCTTATTAATTATGTGATGCATATTTATTTTACATTTATACAAGTCAGATTTTAGACTTTTCAAATATTATAGTTTAAAAGGATCAATGGTGGCTTGAGCCTTTTGAGCCCAGGTGGCTCAGCAGTTTAGGGCCGCCTTCAGCCCAGGGCCTGATCCTGGAGACCCGGGATCGAGTCCCACGTCAGGATCCCTGCATGGAGCCTGCTTCTCCCTCTGCCTGTGTCTCTGCTTCTCTCTCTCTCTCTCCCTCTCTGTGTCTCTCATGAATAAATAAATAAAATCTTTAAATATATAAAAAAAATAAAAGGATCAATGTTGCTGCAGTGGGTTGGGAAGAAAATGGGAGAACAAAAATGAATAAAGTTACACAAGTAAGTAAGCAGTTTTGTAGTGAAGGGAAAAGGAGAAATGGGATAGGAGCTGGAGAGAAATGAGGAGTTAGAGATATCTTGCTCTGTTTGGTTTTAAAGATGGGCCATAGAAGGCTTGCTTTTAAGCTGAGGGGAATGATCTGCAGAAAGTGAGAAATTAATAAGGCAAGAGGAGAGAAAGTTGAAGGGATGAGAGGTTTGCGAATCTAGCTCACATATGGAGAGGCGTTAGTCTCAGTTAAGAACAAATGAGGGTTCATCTCCTATAATGAGAAGGAGGATAAACTATTGGGGCAAAACATGTGAAGGATGGTGAATGGGATGGAAGGAGGATGAGGTACTTCTTCTAAGACTGCTCCTATTTTCTCTATATTTAAAAGATAAACTATGAGACAAGAATCCCCAAAAGTCTTAGACATACTTTTACATGTATTTACCCACGTATTGTAACCAAGTAATCCCAAAGACCAATCATGCACAATGCCAGCAGAGGTGTGGGAGAAAGGCATTCTCATACACTACTGGAAGGGACATAAATTGGTATTAATTCTTGAGAACATTTTGGTATGTCCTCCTATCCCTCAATAAAAGCTTACAAGCTTGATCTGGTAAAAATTACAGCCTTAAAAAACCACCCCAGAGGTTGGGAGAGAGGAGATAAGGGGAAAGGCAAGAATATTGAGAATTGAGAATAGTTAAGTTGTGGTAGATCCATATATTAATACTATAAACCAACTATAAAACTTTTTAAAGAACTTATCAACTATATAGAAAATGCTTCTATTAGAAGACTAAGTAAAAATAGGTTAAAAAATATAAAAATAATAAAATATTATTAAAAATAATATAAAATAATAATCTGGGCAGCCCTGGTGGCTCAGCGGTTTAGCGCTGCCTTCAGCCCAGGGCATGATCCTTGGAGTCCCAGGATCAAGTCCCACATCGGGCTCCTGCATGGAGCCTGCTCCTCCCTCTGCCTGTGTCTCTGACTCTCTCTCTCTCTCTCTCTCTCTCTCTCTCTGTCTGTCATGAATGAATAAAATCTTTAAAAAAAATAAAAATAATATAATCTAAATTAAACACAAGAAAAAGTCCCAAAGTAATCATCCAGAATCTTTACATATCAACCTATCTTTTAACAGTGGCTGTCTCTGGGTGATGGGATTACTGGCAACGTATTTACTCCTTAATATTTTCCTATATTTTCTCTGACATCTGTATTGTTTTTAAATTTAGAAAATAGCAACAAAGATTATCTTATAAAATAATACCTATCAACAATGGTAGACTGCATCAACCAGAATTGTGTTGGCCAATCTCAACTCTCAGCCCTGTTTCAAGAGTGACAAAAATAGGGAAATGCTACCACTAAAAAGTAGCAACCTTTCCTTGACTGTTCTGTACCATATTCTAGTCTCCCTCTTTTTCTTTCTCTTTCATACATAAGACAAACATATTAGGTACAAGAAAGCTCAAACATTCTTAAACCATAAATATAGAGACCAAATGCCCTAGACATGCCAATTCTAACTGGGCAGATTATAATGCAAAATAATCATCCATCCATGGCTGAAAAACAAGTGTGGTTAATTTAATGAATTGAGAGAAGTGTTACAGAGTGGCTAACAATTCTGAAAACATGCCTAGAGGCAAACACATAATAATTGATTTATTGTTATTATATACAATCCATAAGAAAATAATATTATCTATGTTTCA